GGAAACGCGGCTCCGCCTCAGCCCCGCCGCCCACCAGGGGGAGCCGCCTGGCGCTGACAGGAGAAGGGTCGGGCCGGCTGATGGGAGGTGCCGCGGGGAGGGCCGGAGCCTAGGCCGGGAGGAGCGGTCTGTGAGCGCTGCCGGGAGGGCAGTTCCTGTCATCTACACACGGCTGGAGTTGCGGAGGGTGTAAAAAAGCGCGGTTACGCCTGTGGGGCACCGAGGGGGAACGGCGGGAACGGGGCGCCTCAGGACCCCCCCACAAAACACAGCCCTCAAAGGTGTGTTTAAGCTCGCTTAGAAATTAGCTCCTAGAGACAGAGAGCAGGGGGGTGCTGGAGCTTTGTTTCTGTGAAGACAGGCCAAATAACTGTGAGAGACAAGACATTGTCCAGAGTCTTACAAGGCATAAACCATGGCCCGAGAGAGCAGGCTGTGGAGGGAACGCTGAGGGAGAGCACGCTCATCTTTTACACGAGCAAACGTGGAGGAAGGCTCTTTCTGCTTGGTCATTTAGGAAATAACAGAAGAGCTCAAACCTGTGCTGGTCCCCCTCATCAGACTCTCCACAGCAGCACTCATTTGCCCAGAAGCACCTGGGGGGCATGGAGGCAGCACATATATCTTAACCCGTCTGGCTTCACACCAGGAGTGGATCAGGGAGCTACAGCCCACTCCAATTTGCTACCGGAACATCCTCCAGGGAGATAGCAAACCTTGACCTTAGGAAAACTGTAACTGACTGTATCAGAATTTCTGTCTAGCTCACTGTGATTAATCTACCTCAGTCTGTGAGGAGGGAGTATTGGTATCATAAATAACACACTTTTAAAGGGAGGTTACTTTTTCAGACCAACCCAAAGTAATCCACAGACTCCTAAAAGTCATAGGCAGGCTACAAATGATGATAGCTCTCCCAACACCACATCATGGGAACACTGCCAGCAAAATAACTTATGGAGTAGTATTTTCCCTGGAGAGCTCACATATAAGTGCCTAACCAGCCTAAGACTCTTAAAGTAATCATCTTATCAGACCTTACTATGTCATTCTGTGCCCTTAAAGAAAGGCGAAAATAGACTGTTGGAGGATTTATGATGAAGCCACTTCTGTTCTCATGAACTTGCATCCATGCTGAAGTGAATTGTTTCCTGCATGCTGGGAAGAGGAACGCATTAAGAATAAACTGTAAGAATATGAAGTGGTCAAATCATAGATTTTTAACATTTGTTATCTGGATAAATGAGCATGGCAGAGAAACTGATTGAAAACTAATTTGCTAAGTGGTACAAGCAGAAAGACATTCAGGAAGATGGAATGAAAATATCTCACGGAACATCTGGCAAATTAAACAATTTCAATTAGGTTTACAAGAAAACAAGGAAATCCGTACCAGATTGATGAGAGAAGCGTTTAAAATCACTTGGAATCCTGATGGCTTCTCAAATAGCCCATCCACTCAGAACATCATGATTCTCAGAGCAGTAGGTAGCTTGCAGAGGTTTAAGTTATTAATTTCACTTTTGTTTTTCCCCAAGGATCCGTTCTACTTAAGTATACAAAAACTAAAACAATTAAGAGGAAGCCCGATACTTGCAAGAGTTTATAGGTACAGCTAAAGAGACTATCATGAAAGATGAAGGTTCATTATCATTGATGTGGTTGGTTAAGGTCTCAAGAGTCAAATAAGAGACAAATAAGAACATTCCCAAATGCTGAATGGAACCTGCTCCCCCTGCCCCCCCCCTTTTTTTAAGAATTCAAAAAATGCACTTAAAACCCCACAGTAAACATTATTCAGCCACTGCAACAAATCGAACATAACAGAGTACCTGACTTCTTGTTATTTTTAAAATGCACTGGCTTCTTCCTCACTAATAAAAACTGTTTCAGCATTTATCAATTCAATTGCAAAATGTGCATAAAAAAAGGAAGATGAGCTAGATTAAAATGAAGTGACTACAGGAAGTTTCAGGCATATTCACTGGTCATATCCAAAAATGACCTGATTAAAGAAAAAAAAAAAAAGACTTGGCCAGCTGTAATTTGTCACGAGCAGAGCCTCTAGTATTCCATATTCCAGGGCAAAAATTACTGACCCTTGCTGGAGACATGTAATTAGGTAGTGGATTATTAGACAGACCTACTATGGTAATTGCCACATTGCCACAGTTTAAAACCAGACCCAGTAACAACTAATTGCACCAAAACAGATCTTAAAAAAACCTTAGCTAAATACCTCTGTGTAATAAAATGTAGGAAGAACAAATAACAAGGATTTTCTATTATTAGTATAACCATATTTTGTAATATGTTTTCCTTCTAATTCGCCAGCAGAAGAAATGCTATCTTCCTAGCAGTTTTTAAGCTTTCTAGCAGCAATTAAGTATTTTGTGTGGACTATCAAAACCCCCAACTTAAAAAATGAGACGTTTTTGATGGATTAAAAGTGATAAGATTAGGATAGTGAAACCTTAATCTCTTGTCACTGTCATCAACATTTCTAGCATGTGATAGGAGCAGATCCTTGTGGAGATAACACTACCCACTCAGAACACCAGGTGCCATAATAGCCTTTATTGCACAAGATGCTCATGCTTTTTCATCTGTGTTCTTAAAGTGTAACTCTTCAGGTTCAGATTTTCATACCATTTTACCTTTTTTTATTTTTACTCCATTTAATGTTATATATCCAAAACTATAATGAATGAACATATATGAATAAAGTTTATTAATACCCAGTAATAAAGTGATAATAAACCTCTGAATGCAAAACTGGCTCTTGCATGATCTGTTAAGTTTTTAAATACATATATAATGACATCTAAACATACTATCAACTGGTTGTATAATACATAATTTATGTCAGAATTCACCTGATTGCAAGAGTAGTCTAGCTGACTTTAAAAAAGGAAAAAAATTATGGTTCAATAATCTGGATATTGGTCAATTTGTAGAGTTAAATACTTAATTTAAGGAACATGGTAACAATAGTCTTCTGGGCTTTCTGTGTTTTGGGAGTGATCATCAAACAAACATATTCACAGGTCATCTTCCCAGATTGTAGCAAAAACAGTTTAGGAACTTTTCTATCCTACTGCTCCATGTACTACAACTCAGTTGAGAGCAATCCTCAATACATAGGTCGGTATAAATATTAATTTATTGAGTCGCATAGGAAAGTTGTTCTGGTTTTAATTTTTATCTTCAAGAAGTGGAATTTCTCGATCACAATTAGGTAGCTTATAATACAAATTTTGTCCAAAAATAAAATTATTTTTTGTGTTTAGAATAAAAATGCTCAAGTATTCTCCATTTGAATTTCTTGTAGAAATTTCTCCTAACCTTTCTGTAATTTGTTTTTAGAAGGAAGTGAGTGCTAAATGACTAACTCATTTCATTTCTTATTTCAAACAGAAGTAAAAACAGAAGAAAGTGTTTTCTGGAGAATTATCCTGGTTTATATTAAGTCTGGATTGAACTATTTCAGTGTGCAGTCATATGTACACCTTTCTACCTGGCCTCATCCTCACTGTGAACTGTTGAGTGTAAACGCAGTTACAGAAAGCAATATGCATAAAAGAACCTCTCATGAGAGATACTGGACAAAGATTTTATGTCTGACTGATTCAACCAAAAAGAAAAAAATCAAGTAAGGAAAAACACATGCCATAAAAATACACAAATAAGTCACTGTATTCTAGCCAAAAAAGAAGCTGAGAGAATATACTGGATAACTTACCTGGGCACATGACAACATTGGATCCTAGTTATATGGTTAACTTCAGAATTTACAATGAGTCACCTGGAAATCATGTTAGCCCCAGAGTCCTCCTCAACTCACTCTTCATATGCACAGGGGATTTACCTTCTACCTTTATTAGCATCAGAAGTGTATTTTTTGAAAACAGGTTTTTGCAATGAGGTTCTTGGGCTCATTTAAGTCAAAACTAACCACCACCCCCAACCCCCCTTGGTTTGGTTGAGGTTTGTGGGGGGTCTTATGCCTGTTCTTCATTGATATCCAGGGCTGACCTTCCCAAGAACCACAAACAGGAAATGTAGGATCTTTAACTATACATGTGCCATAGATAAAAAATGAGCAATAACCTGGAAGCGTATGGAAAAAAGCATTTAAGCCAAAGGTATGAACATCAAAACTATTCTACAAATCAACTGATCCTGTCCCAAAGCAAACATTAAAATATTTAGTAAGAATCTAGAAAGATGGGTGTTTCTTTTCTCTGAAATAAATTTTTTAATCACCTGAAGAATACCACCTGTGAAGTACAGATAATCTGTTTTCATTAGTTCATTTTAAAAGAAAAAAAAAAAAACCCCCCCCCCCCCCCCCCCAAAAAAAACCAATTTTGGTAGCTTAAGCCAGATGTACAAATTCAGGATGTTCAGTACGATATAGAATTCTGTACATACGTGCTTTGTAAATTTTACCATCATGACAATTAATAGTTATTGTCAAGCAAACATTATTTCAGGATACAAATATACTTTGTTATGACATTATTAATGAAACATATTTAATCTTTGTTTTTAATTTCCCTACTATTTTTCCTTGCTTTCTTCTAGTGAGCCTGTCTTGACTACTACTGTGCTTCCAGACAGCTGTCATCCCATTCTGGCAACCTCCCTGGTTCTGAACATTTAAAGTAATTTAGAGGTGTGGTATTTACACACGTAGTATATTGTTCATATTGCTAGATGAGTAAGATTTCATCTTATCCCCCATAAAGGCTGTGAGAAACCATATAAAGAGGACAGTACAAATAATCTTTATCCATTATGATTTATTCTCTACAATACTTCATTAGAGGATAGAGTTCAATTATTTACACTCAGAAGTTATTATATAGGTAGGAGGCAACCAAGTGTAATACAAAGAATTGGTCTGACATCTCTGCACTGAAGGTCAAAAGAGGTCTCCCACTTTAAGGAAATAAATTAACCAAAAAAACCCAACAAAACAACATGTAGTTTCCAGAATACAAACAGAAAATAGCACTAATAGTCAGTGAAGATTGCAGATCTTTGTTAATGTACTATGAAAACAAATTATTCTGTGCAAAGGTTAAAAAGAATTCTTAGATTTTCTTACAGGTTTTTTTTTTCTGATAAATTGTAGATATGTGATATTTTGACCATAAAACATTCTCAAACTGAAATGGCCTCAGTTGAGATTGACTGTTGAACGTTATGAAAAATAAAAAATAAAAAATTAAGAACCTCACAGTGGCAACATTCCAACACTGACAGACTCCAGTGATCAAAGACATTCTCCTGTACTTACTCTAAAACAAAGACAATTCATAATTGCAATGAGATTATTTCTCAGTTGTGGTTGTCATGAGAATAAGCCCTTCTAGACCAAAAGGCACTTGCTTCCAAGGATGAGTTAAATCCAGATCAAACCAGGTAACAGTTGCTTTGAGAAGGAGTAGTTCTAACCTGCTGTCCCAGCCAAGTAATCATGGAGAAATTCTTACATCAATTGGTCATTGATTTTGGTTGTCTCCATCCTGAGGCAACTTGAAGTACGTTTTGTTTCTAGTTCAGCTCTTTCATCCTTATGCATAGCTGCCATGTAATGATCTAGAAATGGGATTATTTCCTGAGACCACCTGTCCTTGTCATATATTCTTCTGAGCTAACTTAACTATTGACATACTTTTCAACTGATTTTATAGCTGGACCCTTGTGGGACTAAAGCTGAGAGGGCCTGTTCCTTAGGCAGCAGACCAGTGTTACTGATTTGCTAGCTTCTCACTGCAACAAGACAAGAACACAGTACATATTTAGAGGCATTTTTGTTTGTTTGTTTGTTTCAACAGACTGAGTGGGGAAATGGAAGTGGGAGAGGATAAGGCTTCCCCAGTCCCAAACCATCTAGCCCACTTCAGGCTTAAACCAACCAAGTCACTCAATCCTAAAATTGTGTTCTTCAAAAATGACAGCTAACCCTCCCCACCCCACCCCTTAGTCATCCCCTATTCAAATAAAATGAAATCAGGAAAACACTATACACTGTTGAAGACACAGAACAGGGCAAACATTTGAAAAAAACCCAATATTGTTGAAAAGCCTGGCACTATATGCCTGCATGACCAGTCTCACTGAGCGTGCTCAGGGGTGAAGTTTTAGCACCATTTTTTTTGCTTTTTTTTTAAACCTTTTAGAAATTAAATTCTAACATAGAACACTTGAACAGTAATGAGTGTAGCCCTATGCATCATACTGTTTGACAGCTGAAAGGTGAATGGTACATCCAGAGGGGACCCAACCCTCCCCCATCACTAGACGGCACCTGGGAGAGTAATTACAAACCACTCGAGTTTGTAACAAGACCAATTTATTCTCAGCAGCAGGAAATCATGAAACAAACCCTTAATCTTTAATTGCTTTTCAACAACATCACAAGGGAAAAGTGGCAATTGATAAGAATGACCCAGTACAGGAGGAAAGCTGGGTCGATATTGCACCGTTATCCAGAATAGGACCCCCTCCTTTCCCTCATGTCTCTCTCCTTCAGCAGGAGGATGTTACACCAACATGAAGCAAAACTGCACAATTCTGTTTGCTTCTCTAGGACCAGAAGAAGCAGCAGCGTGCAGTTCTGAGCTTTCTACCAGCCCTGTTCCCTGCCATGCCAGGAGAGAATTTCAGGCTTGAAACACCAGCCAATTTTAAAAGCTGTCATTACCACACACAAGCAAGCTTTAAATATATATGCAACCAAATAGCCATTACTCTGCTATGCACTTGTATTTTCTTTCCTGATCATTGTTGACTCTCCAGAAACTTTGAAAACAAAACACCCCCCTCCACGCCCCCTCCAATTATATTTTGGAGTCCAGTGGCCTCATTGAGAGACTGTCATAATTTAGAGTTTATGACATGCCTCAGTGATGCTGCAGAATAACAACTGGATAACTTGTCTTCCTCTTAGAAGAGATTATTTCTTGTAATCATCAATGATGGGAGAAGAAATACAGAATGCATGTGAGTTTCACACAGTTTGGGTAATAGTTTCCCCACTCATTGCCTTAATGTGGTAATGACTAAACTGTGCAAGATAACTTACCAGTGAAACTACATAGCTCTATACCATAGGCCTGCTATAAACTGGAATATACTCACAGTTCTCAAGATCAGTAGTCACACCAGAGAAAGTGGCTGTCCTATCAAAAGGAAGGTCCCCGAGACTGTTAGCTTAAGTTAAACAAATTTCAGTCACTAGTCTCACTTGTATGACTACAGTCAATGCCCTGCAAATCCCTCCCCATCCCTAATCCAATCGGGCTCAGTTACAAATGTTTGGACACAAAACTTGGTCATAAAAGAGAAGACTGTCCAGGGACATTCAAGTACCTTGTCCTTCACATACACAGCATGTGCCATGTTGCTCTCTTATAGGCATAACAGCATTCTATTTCATAGCAGGCTACATTACAAAGCACTGTCTAAAGACCCAAAAAACTGTAAACCAAAAGGCTTTCTAGAGAAACCAACCTGCAGTGGAATCTGATAATTAAAGCCTTCTAGGGTTTATTTAAATAATGGATTCATCTGCAATACCATCCAAAGGTTTTCACATCTTTGTTTTCTGTCTGTGAGGATGGGGTGCTATCCAGATGTTCAACCCTCCCCAATATCATAATGTCCACCTGTGATGTGGGGGGACTGCAATCAGCTCTCGGTACACAACAGATACCAGAGGTTAAAAAAAATTAAAAAGAACCTAAAAAATGTTTTGTTGGACTCCGTTGCCCAGGCTGCCAGGGGAATGCTCCTACTTGATCTGGGGGGCTTCTATAACAAACAACTCAAGTTTCCGGAGTGTCGGTAACACACAAGAACAGATCAGTCCAAAGTGGCACTTTCACTCCCAGAGGTCTTCTGCACCTCACGACAGTTCGTAGGCATGGAGCCCCAATCCAACTGAACCCCCATTTGGAGGAAAGGCTGAGATAAGGCTTGGGCCCCTGAAGTTCTGTCATGCTCTCATCCTCCCCCCAGGTCAGCTGGAAGGCAGACTTGGCAACGGAAGCTAGCATCATAAAATGGTGCAGTAGTAGAAGTAACTGGACCAGGAAGAGGAGGCATCTGCCCCAATGATGTCATAGCCGTTGGCAGCAACTGGGGAGTGGGACTGGTCATGCAGCCGTGTGTCAGGAGTAATGATTGTAGAGGGGAGGGGCATGAAGAGTGCCATTCTGGAAACAATGTTGACGGGAAGCCATGTATTCTGCATAACTGATTGTCACCTTCTCACTGCGGTACCTATGGGAACAGCATGAGAAAAAAAATAATGTAACAGACTATGCAATATGAAGGGCCTTAGACATGAAAACATTCATCCCAGATCACCTTTTAGCTTGCAGCCAATAACAACCAAGAGGAACCCACTAACTTCAAAATCTAATTTCTTTGATACTGCCTCATGCAGTAGTCTGAATAACCCATCTAAGCTTAAATTAGCTTCAATGTCCCAAAGTTGAGCCCTATTCAAGGCAATCATAATTAAGGGGACTCCTGAAGGAGTCCACACAGGAAACAAATGATCTAATTTGTATTCTTTTTATCCATTTGCTCTGGGGAAAAAAAAGGGCATGAAAAGTTTGCTGGAAGAAGACTCAGTTTCAGAGACTAAATAACCACCATTTCACTATTATTTATTATTGTGGTTATCTTCACATTTGAAAGGCTAGTGAAAGAAAATGATGTAGAGTTGGGTTAA